TTTTCTATTCGGGCTAGTAACATTTAGACGGTTGCTGCTTTGCCAAAAGAGCGAAAAAGGTGAAACGAACATGAAAAGAAGATGATATAGCTCTGCCCACACCCTCTCCTAATCGACGGCCTTGTTAATTCCCAATTAATAAAGCTGGCACTCCCGCCTCTCTGATGTCGGTGTTCACTGAGTGGCTACCCGCGCACATACACACACATTCACCCACCCTGACGCGCCCACCCACACACGCTCTCAGTTCCGTTATAATTTGACTCTGCCGTATTCATGTGTCCGTCTGCTTGAGGTGAACAACTTCATAATGAGCTCACATTATCATTTACCCCCAAGCTGTGATTAATCTGACTCGCAGCATGATTGTATCAACTTTCCAAGTTGATATGAATAACCACATGAAAATTAAAGACACAATGATGAACGAAATACATGCACAGTTTTCATAGCTGTTTGATATCAAATTATTTTGTATTACCAATGTGTTTTGAAAAGTGAATATCCTTTCTTTCGTCGTTTTTAGCACCAATGTGATTTTCCTCCGCTGTAATCACTCCGACTCACAGCATGATAGTATTAGCTTTCCAAGTTGATATGAATGCCACATGAAAATTAAAGACACAGTGATGAACGAAACATATTCATAGTTTTCATAGTTGTTCATATCAAATTAGTTCTTTAGTACCAATGTGATTTGAAAAGTTGACATCTTTTCTTTCGTCGCCTTTACTGCCACCCTGATTTTTGATAATTTTTTCAAGTTTGATACTTAGTCGAATTATCATCATCAGCATTGTCATCGACAGTTTCAATCATTCCTAAAATAAAAGAGAACTGTAAAGAATAAAAAAAGTAATGCAGACAACTTTCCTAAGTTATTTTCATTTTACACGCATGACAGTATTTTACAAATGAAAGAAAAGCATATAAGGCGGACGATTGTGATAAATCAAATTACAATCAAAATACAAAAAAGAGAGTAGAATTTGATTTACATGCTGAAATGTTCGTAATTCTATGGTGAAATATTTTGTGCAACTCCCCTCCATATTGAGGCTGCCTTCTAAAACATCACACCTAAAATCCCAACAGTTATTTTGTTGAATGGCAAATGCGTTCATTAAAATGTAATAGAATGCATAATTCATCAGTAGTAGGCAATGGTAAGGTATTCATGTATGCAAAGCTGTCTCATTGACAATGCCTTCAAAGGTATCACCTTCCATGCATCTTCAAGTAGGGAGACGGTTGGTGAACACGCCGAGATGTGTGAAGCTATCGACCGTGGCGGATTCAGAATTTTGTAGAGGGGTAGGGGCACAAGATGAAGGGAAATGGTTAACAAGCTATTTGAGTGATAAGTCACATACATAAAAACAAACAAAAACAGAACAGGTTACCACGTGTCTATCAGTGTCTATGGGATCAAAAGCGTTGTAAGGGGCACAATCTTTTTACATTGTGCAACTACGGTTTTAGAAAGGGGCAGGGAGGTACTTGTTGTGCACTCCATAAATCCGTCACAGATCTAGCGATGCGAGTCATTCACAAGCGGAGGAAATTTCCGAATGGTCCCTCCTCCATTAAGATATATATCTGTCAAATGGATAGATATGACATTTGGTAATGGACCAAGCAGTTAAATTAGACTTCACCGACACAACCAGTGTGTATCAAACCTATTTTTTGAACGACCTTTCAGAATGTTGAGTGCAAAATGTGGAGTGCAGCTGTATTATATATTTTGTAGGTTTCTAGCACATAAGAACACTTCTAAAAGGTAGATAAGTGATTCAATGATGTTCAGCATTCAGAATTGAAAGCCATCTCACGCGACATGCCATCATTTTTTTTTTTTATAAATCAATGACATTTTATTCTTGTGGACATTTGTTGTATTTCTATTTCAATACCTCTCGTTCTCCCTCTTTCTCGCTCGCTCTCTCTCTCTCCCCCTCTCTATTTTTGTATCTCTCTACCTATCTCTCTTTTTTCCTCGTACGTCTGTCTAGATCCCTCTTCATGGCTTTACCCCCTGTCATATCTATTTTTATAACCGCCCTATTATCCAATTTATTCCAAATCTCATTTCATCGGAAAGACAGCAGATGGGAGACATTAATCATTCCATCGAGATAACAGTCATTACCTTAATCATTTCCATAAAAATGAACATGAAATCTCTCAAATTTTTTCTCAATACAGTTTAAAGAAAACTTTAATTGCTTTGGCAATCAATATAAAAGAACTTTTTCAATACCATAACTAATGAACTTCAAACTGATTAATCGGAATTAGCTCTCTCTATTGAACATTACAAACTCTTTTTCTTCTTCTTCTTTTTTTTTACCCCTCTCCACCTAACGTATGATAAAATAATCCCATGATCTTATATCATGCAAAGTAAAATACGGACGCCGTCATCCACTCAGTTCAGAGCTACCAGGAATGCTATTCCCAGATTCATCAATATGAACATTCTTGTAACAGAACTTGTGGTAGTATATCAAATACTTTGACTACTGAAATTTGTCGCTCCCCCAGGCTCAGAATTTCAACCGACCGGTTGTAATAGACATTAAGTTTTCAATGGTGTCAAGATGACCTTCACGGAGGTGATTCCCTAGCTACGTTATTGATCTTCGTAAGAACGTGACAATGTGAGGATTATCGATCCAAGTTCGAGGATCACATCCTCAATTTCCTGACTATAACGTTGTCATTTTTTCCTCGACATAATTCAATGCATTGTTAAATTATATCGTCACAATGCATATCAGAATTATTCTAAATAAGATTTTTTTATAGTTTATTTGATTTGGTTTGATTTGATTTGATTTGATTTGATGTTTATTTATTCGGTATACATCACCATATTTACATTTACAATCTTAAAATTTTAGATGTATGATTATGACATGATATATACCAGGGGCGGATCCAGCCGACGGCGAGGAACGGGGGGGGGGGGGGGGGGGTTGTGGGGCCCAATTCGTGGAAAATATTTCGCGGCGCGTTCCACGCATGAGCGGACATGGTAGAGTCTGAGGGGATGTGCCCCCTCCGAAGCTGAAGAAAAATATTTTTTCACACTCAATACGTGCGATTTGGTGTATACTTTTTGCTAGGATATCGTCTATAAACTGTGACTTTGGATTTATAGGAGGTTCTCCTCTTTTCTTTTTTTTTGTACTTTTTTTGGGGTACTTTTTTGCCACTGCTGCTCTTTAATATTTCCATGACATGCAGTAACAAATTGAATTGCAGGAATCATGGCAAATTCGTTTAACAGTTCATTGCGCTTGGTTCTGTCTACTTTTCGCAGGAATTAGCTAAGGACGAAGCATTATTATCATTATTATTATTTCACCGCCATGACAATGATATTTAAAGTGAAAACAAAAATGAAGTGTTAGGCTTCCTGGGAGAAGTTTAAATTGTTGTTAAATAAGACCTAGCACAATATTTAGGGCTAGTTCTGACTTGAACGTGACCCAAATCTCGGAGCATGGCCTGGACCGGGGCCTTGACCTATACACGGATAAATGAGTGCCCTGGGTCCACTTCTAACTTGCTTTTAACCCTTCTTTTTTGGCCTTTTCCCTTTCCTTTCCTTTCCTTTCATTTCCTTTCCTTTCCTTTTCTCCTTTTTTAAATAAGAAGTGGGGGCCGGGCCCGTCGGGCCCCCTCCGTCCATCCGCGCCTAGTATATACAAAAAGGGGCCGTCTTTAGCATAAGCTTGAAGTGACGTCCTTTGTATAACGTTAATATTACAACGTTCTTGGTATAAACATATACGATCATTTTCATTACTTATCGCAATAGGGAATGGAGAGTAATTCCTTCATCAGTTACCTATCATTTAGTATAACATAATATCCTTGGCTTCCATCGACTAATAAAAAAATGTGATAAGAAAAATCGATGCCCCTTTCGGCAATTATTGTAATTCAATATATTCTCTAAATGTGATCCATACTGTTAACAATTCGAGAGTTACTGATTATTTCAATCCATTTTGAAAGTTATGTACGACGAAACATGATGTTTAGTTGGTTTATATTCATATATATTCATATATGACATGAACAAAGATACAAATTAATTATCAAAAACACGACTAGATTCTATTCTATTCTATTTTTACATCAAAGCAATATTCTCATTATCAGTCATCTATCGAAACGCAGGCTTAGTGACCGTGTAATCTTCTCAAAGTGTCTTTGAGTGGTAAGATCATATACAACTCCTTCATTTTACCCTAATCAGACTCCTTCACAATTTGCCCTTACATCATAAGATAAACGTAATACATGCTCTACCTTGTCATGATTGTGACTTTTTTCCTCATGTCATTCTTATAATTAAGGCGTGAAATGCCTTAGCAAAGCAAACAACACAATACTGATATGTGTGTTTAACTTAGCGGGCATACATTAAAATTGTTTGAGTTATGATGCGTATTCAAGTTGATTATTAAAATCATTAACTTCCGATCATTCTTTATTCCCAAAAATGCGTGACGTTACACTAAATGGTGCGTTAAAACACATTATCCTTAATCAACATTTAACCTATCGATGTGATGAATCATGTATTAGCATTTGTGAAGGTAAAAGGGGTTTCATTATCTTTTTAATAAAGTCCATTTTGTTCGCTTCATTACCTTCCATACTACTCCCTTGCCCCCAGTTCATTTTCGCGATGGACTATGTCATTAGGGTAAGTGATACGAACGACATTTTCCCCTTCGAAAAACCTTCAAAAATTGTCGGCATTTCCGCAGGTCTGTGAAGAGGGTAAAAAACGAAATCATTAACGAGATTTTACGGAAGCTTCCATCATTGATGCGCTCACAATTTCTGGCGTCCTATTATTTCATTAAATTGACGTTCCGAGCAGCCAGAAGACTTATTGGACGAGAAAGCGGACTTAACAAGCGCAACAGGTAAACTGTTTTCGGGATGTAAGCCTCAGGGAAATTTCCCAGAATTACCGGCCGAGTAGCGTCATCATCGCCACCACCACCGTTGCTCCAGCTCGGACGTTGACGGAGGTTTCTATGGGATCTAGAGGCATCTTGCACTTTTTCCACACTTTTAAAGGCTAAAGGTTGTTCGCTTTTAATAATCAGAAAAGTTTCTTATATACATGCCCATTTCATATATACATGATTTAGCATCCGAAATGACATTTAAAGGTAACTTGTTGCGTTATTTCACGTGACACCCCGTCAATTATTCCCTATGAATGTTAGTATGAACGTCTGAGAGAAACTCCGGAGAAAATTAAAGCCATCGCTCAACTCTGCCTACGCCAAGGCTCACCGCAAAATCAGTCTCATTGAGTCTCGTAGAATCCATGCATTCACTGTTTTGTGGTTTTACACGTATCCACGCCACAGTTGGGTCAAGAGTGCACAATTCTTTCAGTGGTACATCAAACAAATAATTAATAACTCCATTTGGTCGTCATTTTGTAGAATACAAAAATATGAAGCCAAATTACAGCTAAGATCTTTTGTGTTATAAAATCTAGCTGTGATGGAAAATGGAATTAATGGGTTACAGACCCCTCTCTTCGACAGGAAATGCAACATTCCATTTTTGTAAAGGTTGATTATCGAAAGTAAATAGCCGTTCATTAATTATTCAGACACATCACAGCCAGAGGATGACAGAATGAGTTTTACTTTATGTGTACCCCTTGGATGTCTACATAAAGTTGAATGGATTTGAATTTTGTTGTTTATGCTGACGCTCACTTCAATATCTTATACCCGTTGCACACGAGGAGTTATTGATTTGATTTGATTCATATATTTATTCACGGTAAAAAGCCCAGCTCAGCTGTTTGGCTGTATTACAATGGAGTCGTGCATATACAACTACATACAAAGTAATCATAAGAGCAAAACCATATATCATAATGTTTATAAAGAATAACGAAATAGTAGAATTCGTTTGTGTTATTACCCGCTCTAATCAAGACTGTGATGAAAGTTATCAAAAAATGTTTGCATTGTTCATTTTGCGTTCACTTTTGTTACGGATGTCATCTTCACATGGCGCATCAACGATCTTGCCACTCGATGACGCAGTCCTACGTCACGCAACTGACGCCTCGTGTGAAATGGGCATTTGATATATACATGAACATTTTCTTTTCTTTTCTTCTCGGGTGTGGAATCCTCAAAGCAGACATCCCGACTATTCCGTTTCGCATTGACATCGCAGCTGTATTTGATACATATTAAACCTCGCACACTCAAAATGAGACAAATATTGTCAAACGTTGTTAATGGTGACAGGTACGGCTTTGGTGGTCAAAATAGAAACATTCCTTCTGTTATAGATATTACCCCTTCCCCACACCCACCCCCACACAAAACACACGCAGAAGAGAGGAGAGGGAAGTAAAGGGGAGTATGGGGTTGTAACATCACTCAACATTCATTTCCATAAACCAATTTTTTATCGACTTTTTTCTGTTTTTACAATCATATCTTTCTTTCTCTCTCTCTTTCTTTCTCTCTCTCTCTTTTTCTCTCTTCTCTCTCTCTCTCTCTCTCTCTCTCTCTCTTTTCTCTCTTTTCTCTCTCACCCCTTCTACCTCTCTTTAAGACACACATGATTTCTAAATTCAAACCTCTTATCCATCAATATTTGCATTACTCAAACTTCTCCTCTTCCTTCTTTCATTGTTCGAGCGTATATTGCTCCCTCTCCCTCTCTCTCTCTCTCTCTCTCTCTCTCTCTCGCTCTCTCCCTCTCCTTCACCTCTCTGTCTCACATATAACCTTTATTCATTCGTCTACCCTGTCTTTAATAATGACCGACCAAGGTAAATGTAAATGATACCAAACAAATATGCACATCTAACAGTACGCCACTGAGGAACGAGATAAAAAAGAACACCATAAATTACACGCTGTATATCAGATGCCAAGTGTGACCGTAGCGTCCTCTTCTCTTTAATTTATGACCGGTGCATTTCAAGCTCATCATCTGAAAAATAATCGATTTGAGTGCATCCCCACAGAAATTGTATTGATCCAATACTGTTTAAATCGGCGATCAGGCATTTGCTCTGGTGACTTTTTGATTGTATTTGCTTGTTTGAAAAAGAAAAATATTCTAGAAGATTTCGCCTTACATTGCGATTGGGTTGTATAGGGTTAAGAGATTTAAGAGATTAAGATTCAAGTGTTAATATATATATATATATATACATATATATATATATATACTGTGAACCAAGTCGAAAAATCAATTTAATAGTATCAGAACCTTCATCCAAAGGCGAAAGTGCTTCAGAGAGGGCATATTGTAAGGAGAAAGTAAAACAAATCTTCTGTATGTACTCACTTTAATTTAAAGTATCCAACAGTTAATTGTTATGGGCTCGGTCTCAAGAATGACCGACCATAACGATCGGCGTCAAACATCAAAGAATAAGTCTGATTCGGTCATCTTAGTCGTGCAGGGTCAGGAAATGGCCTACGGAGAGGTCATTTCAATGAACTTGGACGTCCTCCTAGATTAGATTAATCATCTGCCCTATGTGATTAGACTAATGTTATGGATGGCCATTATAACTCCCCTACGTATCGTTGTCCGTCAATAGGTCTCCATAAAGAGTAGCATTTTCGTTATAGCAATGATCTAAATAAAAGTATATAAATACTTAACAGTTATTATGTTTACATTATGGCCTCGGCCAACGAACTCATGCATAAACACAATGTATGCACCATCTTCACTCCCTAGGGGAGTTTCATACCGCATCTAAATACCGTTGTAAATCTTATGGGATTTCTAAATTACCGTCAACCTGGTATCATGAATTTACGATCGTAGTTCGAATCTTTCAACCAGGAAGCTGAAGTGAGTAAATACTTGCTTTGAGAAAATGGACAAGATAATTTTGCCTGGTTCTGGATTTTCGCGGGGAAGGTGTTGGCAAGAAGCGCTTTTAAAGGGCAGCTTAACGATGGACAGTTGGTACTGGTAAATATATGTGTGATAATGAGAGATTTGTACCACATGGGACCAGGGGGGCTTTATGACGTCATGACGGGGGTAGATGCAACATACGACGGACGGTATCGATCTAAGGAAAACAGCTATGACCATATACCACCTCCCCTGATGAGATGATTCCGTAATACATTTGTATTCATATTCTACTAGCTTTCCTTGATATTATGTAAGCACTTTTCTTGTATTTGCACATATAAAATCCAAGGGACTTGCCACTATTCCCCCTCCCGTCCCCTATTGGATGGTCATTCCTTCATGAGAACCTTAATATTGCATTCCGACAGGAACGACACCAGTACGCCCAAGTCACCCTAGGGCGGTCTCGGTTACGTTGGGGGGGGGGGGGGGGGAGAAAGTGGTAGAGAAAGATTGGTATTTAAGCCTTTGCGTAATTCTACGATCCCATGATTAACAGAATGGATAAATACTTATGATTGCCATTCAAAGTGACTTAGCCAAGAGTCCCATCGCTAAATCGACTCCACACCGATGGTGGTCATTCAAAGTGACTTGCCAGAGTCACACCACCAAATCCACTAAAAAACCGATAACAATCCTGTGTTCGGTCTACATACGGTCTGGCGCGGGTCTCATCGAAAAGACCGGAGTATGAAAAGTATCCATCTGTCGTATGTCCAATGCCACACAGGTATTGTAAGTTCAACCCTGTTAGCCCCATCTTATTTGATTCGGTGACATACTGACTCTACTCCAAAAGCCCCAGGGAGACAGATGACCAACCTTCAATTTAGAAATGATTTATTTAGTATGTGAGAATGATATACCGACCCGTAAATGGAACGACCATTCCTGTGTATTAAATGGGACAACTTACTCAGCAGCTTGGTCTCCTCGGTTTATCTTCCAATTCACTTTGGTTTTCTTCATGTCAACTTCTTTGCTTTGGTACAAACAAATTAGTTGTCAACATATAAATCCTAAAACAATTATATCATTTTTTGGTTTAACTCCTTCGTTTTGCGACTCGTGGTCCGGTGACAGTTAATCCACAGCCCATTTTTCCTCTCTTACATTAACCCTATACCAAACCCTTTACCTAATCCTAACCCTTTACCAAATCCATTACCTAGCCCTAACCCTATACCAAACCCATTACCTAACCCTAACCATATACCAAACCCATTACCTAACCCTAACCCTATATCAAACCCATTACATAGCCCTAACCCTAGCACACCCTTAAACCCAACTGCGTCATTCATTTCTTATCTTCAAATCTGGACCAAATGCATTTATCTAGCCCTAACCCTAACCTTACCCCTAAACCTAACCTAAAATTCCAATTGGCACCACAACCCTTACCTTATTTATATTTGTGTGACATATATGAATAAGCCTCTACAAATATATTATCATAAACTACAGCATAATCTATAGGACGCGTTAAAAAAGTAGTCAGTCAATCCTTTAATATAATACGTCATTACACCTCTTGTGTCCGGACAGGTTGGTGATCCGGTCATATGTACATGTGGTTAATTTCAAACAGTAATTTGAAGAAGTTTACATGCAATATGTTATTAATCTTTAAACACTTATAATGGGCAAACTTATACAAAAGGAAAAATGTCTAATTAGGTAAGTGCTATGTGATCCATATTTTTCGTTAATTAGGCAAGCCTTTTAGAAAGCTACTCAAAGTACTAAATATCAAAGATAATCTGAGAATACATTGAAATGCCGAGGCGTGTCTGTTGATCAACCTCTTAACAAAAAAAAATCGTCATCACAAGGCCCAATATAGTTTGATCCATGTTTTTTTTTCATTCCCCCTGCAAGTTATATAATTATAAGTAACATAGGCTAGTGCAGCTTTGAATATAGCAGTACTTTTTAACAAATTAGGTACTGGAGACTTTTGTGAATTCATTGTGACATGAAAATATAACAACACTTCAGGAAAGCATAGGTCATTGGACAATTTTCTGAAGTCCTGAACACTTGAAAAAAGAAAATATTTTTCTTTCCCTTTCTTACATATTTCCTCTACTTTACCATAATTTTTGTAAACGCCCC